AATGTTAGTGTGTGCCTGGTGAACATTAGTGCGTGTGCATTTGAAGGTATCGATGGAAGTTAATGAATGAAACATTAGCCATACGACTGGCTAGTTCCCCGTTTCGCTGTTGCTCGTCTGTGGTCAAGGATCTGGTTTCAGACACCTGCCGACTGTGGAGTCAAACGGTGTGCTTTTTGGCTCTGTTCGAATCTGCTGTTTTCATGAACGGCTGTTCTTGTTCTAAAAGGCAGTGGGAATGGATCTGAAGGAACAAAAGTCAGAAATTAGATGATTGTGGCTTGAAGGGATGCCTGTGTCATGGGCGCACAGCACGATGAGAACAAGCAGACCAGTGGAGATGATGATGCATCTCGACAGGACTGTGCCAGTGTAAGTAAGCTGTATCGTTAACTTGGTAACAAATAGCCATGTGTGTAGATTTGTGTAACCTTGATGCTTTTGTGTTGAGTTTTGCGCTTCAGCATAGCCGTGTCTCCAGACTCAAATCCTGGAAGATTTACTTTATTGACACATGTCAAAGCTTTAAATCTCTCAGCTTATTTCACATTTAAATGTGCTTAAATGGATATTGATATTTTTACTACGTGTCTATGGTCTGCTAACTTGTGATGGAATATTTGCCAGTTGCACAGTATGGGATGACACTGAATGAATAATACATGTGCATTGGGTAACTCAATGAGCACTGAAGTTACATCTGATGGAGTTGGTACTGCTTTCAGACACTGGGTCACGAGCTGAGGTGCCAAGTAAACCAGCCTCGTTTTTAGCTGGCACATATTTGAATCACTGGTAGCAGATCAAATAGATTTTGAACTATGCATTATTCAGAACCTCTGTCACTCATGCACTTGGGATTGATTATTCAGCCTACTGTAATAGAAGCAAGTTGATCTGCAGATACAGTAAAGAGATAAGAGGAGGATGGTCTGCCCTGGAGAGCCGGCTTCACCCTCTTGTGCCCTTTCGTCCTGATCCGGAGTAAATTTACTTCATAGTAAACTGTTAATTGCTTTTGGTGTTCTTTTCCTATTATTTCAGCACCATTAAATCCATTCCCATAGTTTGCCCTTTTGTGTGATTGCTCTAAAGGCCAAGCAAAATGTGCTGTCCATGTGATATACAGCTTTGAATGACCATGACCGTGTTCCTCTGTCTGGCTGTAGATTGCAGATGTGTCAGTGGAGGTGGCAACGGTGGACCACACGCTGCAGAAGCTGCGCAGGATGTACAGGAAGACTAGACGGAAGCCCAAAGGACTCAAGAGGCTGTGGCTCCGTCTGCTGAACATCCCACACATAACTGTAATCATCACAGCAGTAGTGTTCGTCGTGGTGGTGATCATGTGGTCACTGCTGTGGGTCTTTATTTGTAAGTGGGAGTATTCTTACACTTTTATAAAAAAAAACAAAAACAAAAAAAACCTAAATGTTGCTCCTGAAAGATATTTAAAGGGACAGTTCACCACAGATTAAACTGTTTTCTCTTTGGGCCTCATCTGTAGTCAGGAAAGTGTGTGGCTGTCTCGCTGCTGAATTCATAATTTTAAGTAATTACAAAGAAATGACGAGTCTATAAATATGTATTGGTTTATTTAACAGTGAAAAATTGATGCAAGAGCATTTTGGAGCAGTTACAAATGAACAATCATTTTAGTATTTGATTCCCCCAGTGACCCAAGTTTGGGTCAAAAATCCATAAAAAAATAACATGCTAAAAAATAAATGTAAGAAACTCAGCATCACTGTCTCATGATTTGGTTTCTTAAAACTACAAGAAAAATTTAGTTTTGTTCCACTATATTTGAAGGATGACACAAATAATACAGTAAAAAGGAAGTACGCGCTCTTTCAATTTTAAGGTTTTACATATCAGGTTAAGTTAAACTAAATATAACCTCAGATGAACTACATCAAACACATGCTACAGTGTGCTGGTATTCATTTAAGAAAAACTAAGCTAAAATGCAGGAGCTATATGTAAAAATCTAGGCACCCCGTGGTTCAGCAGGCTGTATAACCACCTTTAGCAGCAATAACTTGAAGGAATCAATTTTCTGTATGGCTTTATCAGTCTCTCACACCACTGTTGAGGAGGTGGCCCACTCTTCTTTATAATGTTGCTTCAGTTTGCTGACTTTTGTTCATGCACAGCTCTATTAAAGTTTCGCCACAGCATTTCTATCAGGTGTTCTGCTTCTGTGCGTCCGATCATTGTCCTGTTGCTTGAAGACTCTAAAACACTTACTACATAGATGAGTTCATGGTCAACTCGTTGACTGCAAGGTGCCCAAGCCCTGTGGCTTCAAAACAGGCCCAAATAATCAACCTTCCAGCACCACTGTGTTTAACAGATGGAATGACGTGTTTGTGCTGATATGCTGCATTTTGTTTTCGCCAAACATGGTGCTGTGCATTATGAACAAACATCTCCAGTTTGCTCTCATCTGACCAAACGATATTGTGTTCTGTGTTCCAGACATCTTGTGGTTTGTTGAGATGCAACTTGGCAAAGCCAAGCTGTGCTGCCAAGATTGCTTTAGAAAGAAAAAGCCTGCAAATTACTTCCAAACAGTCTGTTCATAATTATGTTTTGAACTTAGCATGTTAACTAAAGTTAATAGCATGTTAACTAAAGTTAATAGCATGTTAACTAAATGTTAATAGCATGCTAAATGTTAATATGTTAGCATGTTGACATGCTAACCGAGGCCTGTAGAGCCTGAGATGTAGCTCTTGGGTTTTTACAGTTTCTCTAAGCACTGCACAGACCTGACCCTGGACTAAATTTGCTGTGTCGTCCACTGCTGGGAAGACTGAAAACTCCTGGTTTCTCGCTACAGAGAGATGCAACTCAAATTGTTTGGAAATGGCCAAACCCTTCCCAAGTTAATCGGCATCAGCAATTACTTCTCCAAGATCATCATTGATGTCTTTCCTCCTTGTTAACACACACTTACATGCATTTTGACCTAATTTTGTTTAAATAAATAACGACACTGTGTAATATAGCATATTTTATAATACCTTTGAGGTTGGATAGATTTTAAGATTTGCTTAGGTCTGGATCATTTTTATTATTTGTTGATGTGTAAAAAATGTCATGGTTTATTTATTTTTATTTTGTCATGAGTAGAGACACACTAAAACAATCTAGATGACAACAGACCAGAGGAAAAATGAGTAAATTAGATTTTGAGGTGAACTGTCCATTAAATATCTTTGTAAAGTTCAGTGTTTAGATGCTGTGCATAAATGTTTAGCTAATTTCTGTGGCAGCATATTATTAAAATGTATTTTTGTAATGTAGTAACAAAGGGGGAAAAAAGCTAAATTTGACCAGATTTCCTCAGTTCGCAGGGAAAGTAACAGTGGAGCATATTTCGCTGGGATGTTCCGTGTAGCCAATGTGGAGTTTATCCCAGAGTACCGGCAAGCAGAGTCGCATGAGTTTGTGTCCATGGCAAATAAAATACAGCACGTGGTAGGTGTCAGTGTAACCCTGCTGGTGAACTGCTGTCTGTACTAATCTGCTGTTAATTATTGGTGTCATTATTGATGTCTTGCAGGTGAACAATGTGTACAAAATGTCCTCAGTTGCGAAACTCTACAAGCAAGCTGTCATTTCAGACCTCAGGTACTTTGGTGCTCCTTGTGATCATGAACTAAAACCAAACAAATCTGCTGTTTTTCATTTAGTTTTATGATTTTAAAGATGTTCTATCAATCTGTTTTCCACTCTAAGTAACAACAACAAGGGTGGCGTGTTGGTGCATTTCTGGATGGCTTTTGTGGTCCCTCGACTGAAGAGCTCAGAGATGTGTGAGGAGTGCTTAGCAGCCATTTTCAGAGATTCAGTCCACACCAGCCTGAACAGGTCCTCTGTAGGCTACCTGCTGGGTCTTCCAGTTGACATAGACTCCATCCTCATCAATGGTGCATTTGTGTGTCTCACCTGTAGTCTAATGCATATTTATCACTCTGAACCTTTGACTAAACTGAATATTCTGCTCTCTTTCAGGTGTTCAGCGTTCAGATTATTCATCCAACACAGCAGGTAAGAACTACTGAGGTGAATAACAAACATCCTGCATGTCTGCATTTTGTTTCCATGAGTTTTTTTCTCTCTCTCTCTCCGTCCAGACTCTCAGTGTGTAGATAAGATGTATGCCAACCTTCCTGGGGTGATGGTCCCTTTAAGCGTCTTCTCGTCATGGGGCGGTATAAATTGCCATGTAAAGCTCACTGCAGTCCCTGGCTCTCTGATCCGCCTCACCATCACCTCATTTGTTATTGAGCCCAGTGACTGCGTGAACGATGCCCTCACTGTGTATGACGCTCTGCTGCCCATGAGAGGGCGCATTCTGCACAGGCGAGTCTGCACCAGAGCACAAGTTTGATTTACAGTATAGTTAAGATTCTCTAAAACAACACACAGAATTCCTGCAGATTTCTAAAGGTTTACCTGCATGTATTGCCCATTTTTTTTTAAATCTCAGTGGATTTTTATTATGATGATCAATACCACTTAAATGGCTTAGACTAAGCCATTCCAATATCACACCATTCCTGCTTTTTGAGCCTTCCTCAGATGGCCTTACATTAAAACACATCTGTTCTTACTGTGGCCAGAAGGTCCATCTTAGATTCATCTGTCCAGAGCAGGTTATTCCAGAGCATCTTACATTTACATATATATTCTAAGTACTTATAGGTATTATAAGTATTTTTAACTTCACTGACAGACTCACAGCTACGTGGCACACGGCACGTTTTTTCGGATTGCTGACTACAATCCAGAGTTGCGCTGCAGCTCACGTACCTCTGCTTAGTCTTTTCAGGCATCCATCTTTTCAGAGGTTTAAATAAGTCGGTCCCCACGTTTCACTTAAAGAAGTCCCAGTCATTGGCACTTAGACTACCAAGAATATTTATATACTCATAAATACAAATTTCACATGTGCTGATCTACATCTTTGTGCTGCAGCCTGTGTGAGCCGGTCTCCAGCGCCGTCTCCATCGTTTCTACCTCCAATTTCATGCTGCTGTCCTTCAGAATGACCAACGGGAATAAAAATTTCAGAGGATACTTTGAGGCAATCGCTGAGGAAGGTATGAGACATTTATCTGCTCTGTCTTATAAGCCAGTAGTTCTTGACAAACAAGTTTTCTGAAAGCAAAGCATCGACATGAAATTAATATTTCAGTGAATTGTGTAGGATTTTTTTTAAATATGTATAATAAGTCTGCTTCTAAAGAATGATTTCTCAATAATATAATGTTCCAGCACCCAGATTTATGTAACATCTAGCATTAGCTTGGGAAACTATAACCCTCAGGCCTCTCTCTGTCACTCTCAGTTTGTATGTCTCAAATTGAGACCCGGTTGGAGCCTGGCATCAGAGATCGAATGTACAGCCCCTTCTACCCCAGCATGCTGCCCCCACAGTGCTCCTGTACGTGGAAGTTTAAGGTAGACAAACAAGTGACACGCGAACACACACACATTATTATTATTATTAGTTTTTGTTCATTGTGTGTTCTGTCATTTTATAACAGACCAGGAACTCCAGTTTAGGAGTTGCACTGCGCTTCCACAACTATGTTCTGAAACCGAAGGACATGAATGGCTGTGACCAAGGCTGGTGGAAGGTCAATGAAGTCATGTACGTGGCTACACCTGCTCACACTCAATTCAAATAATAAGTTCCACTGCCTATTATTATTGGGTATTTTCAGTAGTCTACAGAGATGGATAGTCACCTCATGTACTGAATGTCCTGGATATTTTTAGACCATTCATTTGACCATGACCATATTTGTCCCACATCCTGTGATGATTTTTCTTGATGCTTGTTTTCCTTCCACAGTTACTGTGGAAGCTACGTGGGACATGACACGGTTTTTCGGATTGCTGACTACAATCCAGAGGTGGAGTTTCGCTGCAGCTCACGTACCTCTGCTCAGCCTTTTCAGGCATCTTATAGCAGCTACTTTATGAACCAGCGTAAGCACAGCATAACTCCAGCCTGACTCACTGTGACCGCTAGGATGGGGTGCAGGAAATGCGTATTTCTGTGTATCTGTGTGCATGTGAACTTTGTTTATAGGAGGATTCTAAAAATTACAAAGTGAAAATGTTGGAAAATAAATATGGAAGTTCATGTGAAAAAAAAGATAATCTTTTACTGTAGCTCTTGAAACTCTTGTAGCTCTTTTGTTGTTAATTGGCACTGAATTGCAGCCCCAGAGAATTTTATTGTGTTGTGTTATATTGAGCCAGTACAACAAAATGATAGAGATTTAGTTTTGTTTCTGTTTCTCTGCTCACCAGCCTGTCCAGAGAGCCATTTCTTGTGCAACACGGGACTGTGTGTGCAGAAGACTCGACTGTGCGATGGCCTGGATGATTGCCAGGATGAGAGTGACGAGGTCTTCTGCTGTAAGTTGTTTTCCAATTAACCATATATAGATTTTGTTTTTTTAAACAATAGGAATGTGATTCGGCTTTCATTCCTTGTCTGTTTAAAATAGCATCGTGAATTCCTGTTGAAACGTTACACTGTTCTTGATGTCTGGCATGTGGTTTAAATGTGTTTATTTCCTTGAGGACTCATTCCACATTTTAGAAAATGATGCATATTTTCACAGCAAGGCCCACGATGAGCTGTGGTGCCAATAGTCCCCTGCATCCTCTGCTAGTATGCAATGGAGAGACAGACTGCACGGATGGAGGCGATGAACTCAACTGCACTCATGGTACGTGTCGTTTGCAACTTTATAAAATGAAACGTGCCTTTTAGCCACTAATAATGGAGACTTGTTTCATCAGAAACGACCTGCTCTGCAATCAGATATCAGTGCAAAAGCGGCTCCTGCATCCTGAAAAAGAACGCAAAGTGTGACGGACTCGATGACTGTCAGGATCGCAGTGATGAGGCCGACTGTGGTGAGTACTCCTCAATACGTGCCCCGTGTACACATCGTATTTTTGTAGCATGCAACAATTACAGTTTGCGCTCTTGTAGGTGACTCTACTCCCAACATGCGGTGTGATGTTGGGTTTGTATGAGACTACATTTGAACTCTTTGATAAACTGCATTCATTTTCAGTTTTTGTATAAATAGTTCATAGTTATGCTCAAATATCTTCAAATTATTTTTAAAAAAAAAGAAGGTTGAATTGTTCTGTCCGGCTTTTTTGTTTTTTTGACCATCAGAACATCCAGTTCTGCGAGGATGAAGCTGCAATCACGCTGCCAAGTAGGAAATATTTTACACAATAAAGAGGTTTCCTCCTGGGAAGGAAACCCCGACAGAGATTTTCTGATTTTGACTTCTTGTTAATTAAATTTGTTTGCGTTTTAGTAACATTATCACATCTAATACTGGAAATAGAAACAGTTTTGTGGTAGGAATTTGTTCCTGGATTATCCTTGGAGTGGCCACCTCAGTGCCTGAATAATAATAGTGTAATTAATAAGCTTAAAATGTTTTATACTTACCAGGTTGAATTTCAGTGGCTTTTTATTCAGTTCACTTGAGTTTTAGAGCAGCAGCAGGAGTAGTACATGCTGAACTGTAGCTGTAAGGTGCCTTTAAAATGCTGTTGGCTCCACCTTTTATTATTTCCTCAGTTGTTTGCTTTGCTAACATCATAAGTGTTTGGCAAATAGATTCAGTGAAATAAAGCTGGTTCAACTCAATATAAGCTGTAATCACAAATATTTGCTTAAATTATATTTGCTTACCCTCTGATGTATCTGATTTTAATGACTGTGATTATGCTGCCACCACACTGCCAGATCTTTGCCAGATCTTTCATGCAGTCTCATGAGAAAGCTGTCTTTTTTTCTAACCCTCTGGGCACTGAGCTGCAAACTTGCTGACCTGCAGCGCTGAGGTGACCCGTAGCTCTCTCTGTTTGCTGTTATTTTATCATGATGGGGTCTCAAGGTGGTGGGAACAGGTCTGTCTTTGATCACTCACTAACACTGAGCTTAGTGCGCACGCACACACACACACACACACACACACATGCATCAAAGCTCTGAGTTTTAATAAGGTGGCAGCAGGACTGCCAGCCATGGTGATGAATCAGCATGTCAGCATAGGTGATTATCGTGTGTGTGTGTAACTTGTGCCATGAGCCTGATAAAGACTGATAAAGACATAGTGTGCACATGTATTTAAATGTGTGGCAGATCTGTGCATACACATAATAATATCAGATTCAGTAGTGCTGTTCTGCCACATGATGCAGTTAAATTTAACTGCATTATGTGGCAGAACCAGATGGGTTTAAATGGTAAAATACGCTCACAAACACTGTGGTCACCTTTAAAATCTAACAAGTGTAACAACTAACCCATCTCTATCACCCTCAGCTTGTGGTCGTCCCTCCCCATTGACCAGGGTGTTCAGGTCAACTGGCTTGGAGCGTATCGTGGGTGGAGTAAACTCTGCAGAGGGGGAGTGGCCTTGGCAGGTCAGCCTCTATTTTGATGGTCACCTGTACTGCGGTGCTTCTGTCCTCTCCACTGATTGGCTCGTCTCAGCTGCTCACTGCTTCAACAAGCAAAGGTCAGCCAAGCTCGCTGGTGTTCTTATGAACTATAAGTATTCTTTTTATTTAGTAATAACAATAATCTGCCAAAGACCTCACATGATATTTTAAAGTTAGATTAAAGATTATCAGTTCATCAGTTCAACTCATCTTTCTTTTAGCTGTGTAAGATCTAGTTTAATAAGTTCCAGTTTATACAACCTGCTTCTTTAATCTCCCTGAACTTTGACCTCTGCCTCTGCAGGCTCTCTGATCCACGTTACTGGAGAGCCCACCTCGGCATGCTGACACAAGGCAGTGCCAAGTACGTGGTGGAGATACAGCGGATTGTGGTGCACGAGTATTATAACGCTCAAATGTTTGACTATGACATCGCGCTGCTGCAGCTGAAGAAGCCTTGGCCACCCTCCCTCAGCCCGCTGGTCCAGCCTGTGTGCCTACCGCCCTCCTCCCACACCGTCACCGACAGCCACCGCTGTGTAGTGACTGGGTGGGGATACCGAACTGAGGATGGTAAGTACAAGCAAAGTCTGAGAAGTTTTACATCTGTCCATCTACTTTTTTTGTATCTGTTTATTTAAATTTAGGGTCCAAGGGGGCTGGAACCTACCCCAGCTGTCACTGGGTTAGAAGCTGTAAGATCCTCAAGATATATTTGGCAATAACAATTCCAAAAACATAAAATATTTAATTTTATCAATCTGGACAGCACCTTTATTTTATTTTAGGACAGTGCTATAAGATGCAAATGATATTTAATGCTGAACTATTTGTTTTTTGACCTCAGAGACATAAACAATAAATACATAAAATGTAGGCCCATTCTTAGGGGACTCATTTAAATTCAACTCTTTGTGAGGCAGTTACTGACAAATGAACATCTAATGCCTTCAACTGTTGATTGCATGCATGTCATGTTGCGAAGACGTAACAGTTTCCCAAGATGATCCAAAATATTTCGGATGCAAACAAATGAAGTTTTAAGTAAAGACAAATAAATTATACATACATCTTGCAAAATACAAACAGAAATATGTAAAAGAAATCCCATAGAAGCAATACAAGCCTTTGATTTGTGTGTGCGTAAAGCAAAAACAACAACAACAAAAAAAAACTGAGCTTAAGGCCTCAGTGAATAGGTGACATTTGAACTGGTTTTTGAAAATCTCAAAGATGAGGCATTGTGGATTTGGGGTGGTCAGAGTTAGTGCGGGCAGCAACAGGACCATAATATGGTGTGGGGGATGGAGAGTAGGCTTTTGTGGACTACAAAGGTCTGAATGAGCAGTGGGGAACAAGGGCTTGTAGAGATAACGCTTGACCGGGAGTCAGTAGTGGTGCACAAAGCTGAGGATGATGTGCAGCTGAGTTTTAAACATACTGCAGCTTATCCAGGACATTGTTAGGCAGGACAAGACATCATTGCAGTAGTCCATTTGGGAGGTGATGTGTTGTCTGATATGTGGTCCTCATCTCGCTGCTCTGCAGACACAGTGCTTTCCTTGGTGCTACAGAAAGCAGAGGTGTCTGTAATGAGTCAGACGGAGTGTAAGAAGCGATACGGAATCATCTCACCACGCATGCTGTGTGCTGGAGTCCCCTCAGGAGGGCGGGATGCCTGCAAGGTATGCTCCCATCCGACTGAGAAGAATCTTAAAGAAAAGACTCACATGCATTTCTGTGCACATTAGTGAGTGAATCATTGCAAGTTACTGTTGTGTACTCTTCGTATCTCAGGGAGATTCGGGTGGCCCTTTGTCATGTCAGGCACCAGGCGGGGGTCGCTGGTTCCTGATTGGGATTGTCAGCTGGGGGTCCGGTTGCGGCAGACCAAACCTACCCGGGGTCTACAGCAGGGTCACCAAGTTCACCTCTTGGATCTACAGCCATATCAGATGACACAATGAAACTCATCCATTCCCAGCACAATATTCCAAATAAAAACAGCATTACTGGATACATTGTGTCCTGTGTTGTGTATATTTTTCATCCAATAATTAATAGTTTACTGATGTTATAAAGTGCCGTTAATCTCACATACTGAATAAAAGCTCACAATAAGTCTCCGTTTTTGTCCCCTAAGGACCATCCAAGGGCACAGCGGCCCAGCCCCAGTTGTAATACCTCACACGTTTCCCTCAAACACTCTTTTGTCCCACGGAGCTGAACTCCCACATACACAGCAAGGAAGTTTGCCCACAATATCTGTCGCACGGATGGTTGTGCGGATTGTACCCTTTCATAGTGCTCTCATTGTGCCCGCACTGCATTCTGGGGCTCCGTGTGACACCTGCCGCCAGGTTCAGGTAAATGGGAGGCAGTGAATGCCCGCTGCATCCGAGCCCCCTCGGGTCAGGTTTCGGTGTGGGGATTTTTTTCCCCCTTCTTTTTTTTTTTCCAGAGGAAGCGACAGCGGGGATTTCCTCTCTCTCCATCGTTTCTATGCCCGGGGTATTGTTGCATATCGCCTCTCCGGAGCTAAACGGGACAGTGCTATGTGGACTCTCCCCAAAAGCAAGATTTGTGAAGTGTACTGCGTCTCCGGGCATGGACACTCAGGCTACGCTGCTGCACAGGTAAGCCATCAGTGCGTCTCTTTGAAACCTTTCTGTGAGAACTGTTTTTTCAGCATATTGTAACTCTTTTGCAAAGTCCGTCTGCTTGTTTCACCCCCTTTTCCCCCCCAATACAAAAGGGCTGCATACTATTTAGAGTCCATCAGACTCTTACTTATGATTCCTCTTAAGTGTAAAATCTTGCTCTAGATGTCTCTGGGTCCCATTCTTATGAATGTCCACATCCGAGTGGGCCACTTGATTGAGTTGCTGACACTGCACAGCCAGGCCGTGGGAAAGCAGACCACTCCAGCCACTCTTTGTCTGCTTCCCTGGGGGAAACCTGCCAAGTCTTTAAATGTCTTAGTAGATCTTTTAATCTGAAGGATGTTCTCCATTGCTCTCTGAAAATCAGCATCTGGCTCAGTCAAATGTTGTTCTACTGACTTTTTGGTATATAGATTTCATTTTCTTTACCATGAAAAGAACAATTAGAAGCAATTTGAGACATAAAAACCTTGTATGATATTTGAGTCGTGTCCTTGTCTTTGAAAGGGAGAAGGGAACTTAAAGCCCACCCATTCACTGAGCCCCCCCACGAAGCCTGAGGACCAGGCAGAAGAGAACGTGGAGGGGGTAAAAGCTCCAGTGTGTGACTCCTGGAGGAGATGGATGTTGGGTCTCTTGCCTTTCTTTCCCTTTATTGCAGCCATTGCACTGACACTCCACTACTTAACATGTGAGTACAGAGCTGCAGGAGATTTTTCTGGTCCATTCCTTTGGTGTTAAATGTTATTTATTTTGAGTCGCACGGTGCACTTGTCTCAAATCTCCCCCTCCTGCTCCACAGCTCCGCCTTGCTCAGTGTTCTTTCTCGGAGGCAGCGTGGAGTTCCCAAACCTGAGCTTCTCCTCGGAGCTGGCTGACTCCACCTCCCCTCAGTTCCGCCTGCAGGCTCAGGCTTTGAACCATTATGTAAGTGGAATGGCGATCCTGTCTGTCACTGCCTCCCCTCTGAATGACACTTTAGAGTGCTGCTTGACCTTCCTGCCCCTGGGCTGAAGCTGATCTTGTTGTTGTTGCTCTGACTTTGATATCCTTCTCTACAGCAGGTTACTGCTTCTTTTTATGTCGCACATTCAAAACACAGCCGCTCTCCTCCTCCTCCTCTGTCCTTGCTTTCTTATTTGTAGAGTTTCTCCTTATCTACTTCAGCCTCCCATCTCCGCTCTTTTTTTTCTGCACACCACTTTCTTCTGCCCCTTTCTCTTTCTCTCGCTGGTAGTGTTAAATGTAAAGCTGTAACAAGAGCTGGGCACAGTGTGTGTGCAGGTTCCTGAGACCCCCAGGGGACAGGGCCATTTCAGGGCTGAAGACAAGCCCAGTATTTGTGAGCCTAGCTAGCCTCAGGCAGCAAGAGTGAGAGGAAGAGCAGGCCCTCAATAAAAACGTTGTCTGTGTTGCTTTCACACAATCAGCTACTCTGTGCACCGGACACTACAGAGAGCAGGTGAACCTCTGTTTGATGCTGGGGTTAAGAGCTAGAGACAGGGCAGTAGGGTAATCTGGAATGACAGAAGGGCCGAGGGAGATATGATTAGATTTTTGGAGCAGAAGGTCAGGTATATAGCAGTGGATCTGACAGTAAATTGATAGGTGAAAATTCCCCCAAACACTGCAGTACCATAGTTTAACATCCCTGTAAGCAGCTGCAATGGCAATTTAGCTTCTTTGTTAAGTGGTCACAGTATCTCTGTGGCCATCTGTTCATTAAATAACAGGTGAACTGAAGGCCAAGAGCCAATACCACCCAGTATCTTACCTCTACACAGCGGGCAGGTAGGGACACAAAGGAGCTCTGTGCAGCTCAGAGTCAGCACGCACACATGAAGAGTCTCATACACACAAACAAGAACAAAGCATTTGCGCAACCAGGTGTATTTTCATGTCACCTCAGTGGGAAAAGCCATCTCGCGTGCAATTTGTGATGTCACCCCCCCCACACCTTTATTTTTTTTTTAAACGCAGTTCTCAGACCTCTACAAGTCCTCTCCGTGGAGCCCTTACCACGTACGCTCAGGAATTACTGCCTTCAGGTATGCTACACCTAAACAAAATCTGCTTGTGTGTTGCAACGGTTCTTGCATGCCAAGAACGTACATGACAGCAGCACGCTGAGATCCAACCTCTGTGTGTGATAGTGAAGGAGCAGAAGGGCTCACCGTCTTCTACTGGAGTAAATTCTCTGCACCAGACAATGTTGCGATGGAAATTCAGACCTCCAGCCCAGAGAAGCTGCAACGGCGGCTTCCCGGCAGCAACAAGATTCAGCGGGAAAGCCGCAACGAGCAGCGCTACTTTATGCAGCAGGATGATGACATACTTCCCTTACTGGGTGGATACAGTACTTTTACTGCAAAATGATTTTCTTTTAAACAGAAATAACATAGTTAGACTTTCATAAACGCCTAATTATGTACCCAAGTTTTAGATTTTTGATGCTTGATTTGTTTCTTTTTAGGTTTGGACCCTGACGACTTTGATCCAGATGAAAGATCTGACAAAATCAAAAATCCAAATAGTATCCAGGGCGGGAAATGGCAGCTTGGCTTCCAAGGTGAGGACAGTACTCTTCTGGCTTGACACTTTAAAACTCCTAAGGCTGTTTTGGTGAGTCAAACATTTCTGAGAATTCCCTGCTTTTCCATGCAAGTACACAGAAAACCAGAAGGGGCAGAGCACAAGTGCAGACATCAGATATGACACTGATTAAGTCAGACAAAGCAGGAAAGGTGGAGTTGCTTTGTAAAGGAGCTTAAAAATGTGCACTAACTGTATAAATAGTATGCTTTGCTCTTCTGTGTAAGTGTGTGTGTGAGAGAGATCTAATCTGACTCACAACATCAGCATCATTATCATTTCCACTGTCTAGCCATGTCCTTTGACCTCTATGCCAAATATGGTAACAACCGCACCCTGAGCCTTGTGAGTCCCAAAAAGCCATACTACCAGTGGAGACTTCGTGTGCCCTCGGGTCACGTGGTTCGATTGGTCGTCCTCACCCTTCATGGCGCCACACCAGGAAGCTGCACTGCTCACAAGCTCTCTGCATATGACTTCTTACTTCCTTTACAGAACAAGATAATCGCCAGGTAAAGAGCATTTTATGAACTTTGATATTCGTGTGCACGCAGTAGTAACTGATAAGTAACATTTATTTTTATTCATTTAACTCGGTTCCGTCTCTAAAAATGATGCGCGTGACTGCTGCAGGTGGTGTGGGCTGCCTATTTCAGGCTCATCTCCGGTTATGAAGCTGACATCCTCTGGGAATGTGATGCTAGTCACGTTCTCTTTCAGCAGACAGAGGGATGGAGCCATCTTTAAAGCTTACTTCCAGGCCATCCCAAAAGCAGGTTTGAGTGCTCTCACACAGCCATATAAAAATCTAATTTCATTTTGAATTGCATACATAATTACATATGTGTGTACTTTGTGCACTTATCTGCGTCACCATCTTCCTGGGCAGGTTGTGGAGGGTCAATTTCCTCCTGGAATGGGTCTATTTCCTCACCCTACTACCCTTCCTATTATCCTCCAAATATAGACTGCATTTGGACACTGAGGGTGAGCTACATAAAAATGTTTGTGTACATACATAGAGTGTGTGCATGTGTTAGGAAACAATGGAATATTCTTCTATAGCCTGTTGACATTCCAGCATCGCAATACTTTCCTTAATTATCTCTGGTTACTTCCTCAGGTGCCATTACCAGGATACCTGATCTCCATAACTATCGTGACAATGGACATTCAGGATTCTCCATCATCAGACGGCTGTGAGAAGGACTGGCTGGACATCGGAGGAGTGAAGTAAGCTGATTATAACTCCTGGTGTGTTTTATCTCCATGTTTTGGAGCATGCTTAAGGGTTAAACGTGAAACTCCTCATTTTCCTGTATCTCCAGATTGTGCAATCCAGTGTCAAACAGCGGCAAAAAGCGAGTCTACTCCTCTCCTCTGACCCTCCACTTCCACTCTGATGAATCTCTCACCAACAAGGGCTTCTACTTGCTATACCGAGCCTTCGCCCCAGAGGGCAGTAAGTGAAACTGAATGCTTTCACTATAATGTAGATATTACTCTTTATTTCTTAGAGCTGTAGATCCCTACTAAGGCTGTAATTAAGTTATTTTTGTCCAGATTTACACTGGGCTTTCCTTCACTATCATAAAAATTCCTTAGTTGTAAATATCTGAAGTGGTCCTGATTGCATAATGTAAAATTTAGTTTCATCCCCTGTAAACTCCTGAAAAATTCCCATCTTTTGTTACTGCACACAGTGTTGTTATTTCATTATTATATGGTTGGTTTGAGTTCTTCCTCTAATTTATGTTTTTGTGGTTTTTTAAAATTTCTTTGCTGTCTGTCATTAGCGTGCCCTCGCCAGTTTCGCTGTGGAGATAGTCGCTGTATCCCTCTGAAGAAGGTGTGCGATGGAGTAAAGGACTGCTCAGACGGACGGGACGAGGCTAAATGCTGTAAGTATTGTTGCCTAAGTCCTGTGCGCTGTCCTCACATGCTTAATCTTGTATTATTTGTGTTGGGATCTCTGGTTTGAATTATGTTTATACATCTTGATGCAGATATAGACACAAACCCTGGTTTAGACCCACATTTATTTGTGCTCTGTATCAAACCTTTAGCATCCTGCAAGCCAGGGGAACTGTTGTGTGGGAACAACCAGTGCAAACCTCAAAGCCAGTGTGTCAGTCAGAGCATTTGTGCGGACAGCAGTGAGGAGGGCAGCTGTGGTGAGCAGAAAACACCGCTGCTCTTTTAATACCTTCACATGTCAGTGTTTGGTTCGGTCATGTGTTTCATGCTGCCTTCTGTTTGCTTTTCAGGAGGTAAATGTTACCACGTCTGTCCCAACAAGGTGTGTTTGTCTAAGTCGTCTGTGTGTGATGGTGTCATTGACTGCAAAGACCGCAGCGATGAGCTCAACTGCACCAGAGCATGTGAGTGCTTATGATGTCACAGTTATGGTTTAGTGCAACAGTGTGCTCTTAAAAAAATAATATTACGACATTCGTTCTCTTTAGATGTTAAAGGCTGCTCCTCATCCTCCTACAAATGTGCCAATGGGAAGTGTGTCAGTAAGGTCAACCCGGAGTGTGACGGCGTTAAAGACTGCTACGATGGCTCTGATGAGCTGCGCTGTGGTACAGGAATTGCTCAAGTACCGCGCCTCATACCTCTGTACTTGCTCATTAAAATACAGGCTCTAACATCTTCATATGTGTTCCTTATCTATTCCTCAGGCTGTGGAACCAGGCCCAAAAAACGCACCAAGATAGTGGGAGGGAGTGACGCCGTAGCTGGGTCATGGCCATGGCAGGTCAGCCTCCAGATGGATCGTTACGGGCATGTCTGTGGAGCCACGCTGGTCTCAAACCGCTGGCTTATCTCTGCTGCTCATTGTTTCCAGGACTCTGACGCCATTAAGTAAGAAAACTACAGAGAACCTTATGTTGATGATTCATATATAAGCACTTTATTTAAGCGCAGTGTATCCTAGATACTCAGATGCACGTGCGTGGCGTGCATACATGGGAATGCGTGTGATGACCACAGGAAACCAAGGAGCAGCCACCAGACCGATCCGCCGCATCCTCCTCCACCCACAGTATGACCAGTTCACGTCTGATTATGACATCGCCCTCCTCGAGCTCAGCGCACCTGTTTTTTTCAGTGACTTGGTGCAGCCTGTGTGCGTCCCCGCCTCCTCTCACACTTTCACCACAGGGACCAGCTGCTATGTCACAGGTTGGGGAGTCCTTATGGAGGATGGTAAGCACTCATTATTGAATAGAAATATGCAAATTTTACTTAATTTTACTGGAAACTTTGACCGTTTCTGTGGATTGTAGGTGAATTAGCCTCTCGCCTACAAGAGGCCTCAGTGAAGATCATAAATAGAAGCACCTGCAACAAGCTGTATGATGACGCCGTCACCCCCAGGATGCTGTGTGCTGGGAATCTGCAGGGAGGTGTGGATGCATGTCAAGTGAGTGTGTATGGATTTTATGGAAAACATTGCACTGGTTTCTTAAGAAATTTCAAAACTTTTCTTTTACTCTTAACCACGAATGGTTTAAGATACTTTCTTGGAGTATTTCCAAGAAATCTTATCGAAACCACACAAGAGAAATTTACTTCCTCAGTGTCTTTTTGCTCATCACATGCTGCCTATGATTTCTTGTGTAAAGACTCCTCTATTTAGCCAACTAACCACTTCTGGCGTGAAAACAAATAAAATTGTGCTCACGAGATAGAAATAGTAGAGAATTGGTTTCACTAAAGTAGACCTAGGCTAGTTATTTTTCAGATGCCTTATCTAACAGCGTTATTCCTCATGTTATCATCAGATAATCAGTGCAGATAATCATTTAGTCTCTGCAGAAAGTGCTACACAGCTGTCAGGGTTTTACAGGAACTTTCATGTTTGTGGTGAGTGTCACAATTTCACCTCCACAATTTTAGAAGTCTAAGCATTTTTTGTACACACACACAACAAAGTCCATGTGTTTAAATTGCCAACAGCATACATAAATTTTTCTTTAAAAACTAATGTTGTGTTTTACGAATAATGACAGTAATTTCAGCAAACACTAACATGAGCTGAAGTTTAGTTTGTTGATTCAGGCTGTTCATATATATGGAGATTCTAAATATCACATTACAGTTTGTGTCCAAATATCATGTCACATTTGACCTCTGACCTCACTTTTACATTTCATATCTGCCTTTCTTTCAAGTTGACCCTAAAATGTGTGACATCTTTAAAGAAAGTGTTGGCAAGAGAAGAAGACTGAGCTCCCTAGTTAGCTAAAAATATACTGAAGTTTAATATAATAGAATAAACTTAGGTTTTTCATGTCCTGTTATTTAGAAATCAATGCCTATTATCCATTACTTACTCGTCCATAATGTTTGTGGAATCTTTCATGCTACCCTTACCTGATTTTCACTTCATAACAAACTTCTTTTTTATCTGAAAATCATCAAAGATCAAATAAAATAATACATACAGCAGATCTGAGCTTCACGATGGTGCTTTTTAAACTGGGCTGTTTAAAGGATCGTTTCACCTAAAATTCCTAATAATGACTGTCTTCTCAAAAAGCTTTTCAGGCTCAGTCTGTCTGAGACAGGAAGTAACTTATATTAGGGAGCTTGGTTAGCACTGTGCTGTAATTCATAAAACAGCTGCATCAAAGAAACAGACATCAATTCCTGACGAAGGCATTTAGGAAATACCCGATGTTTGTGAGTATTTAGTTAGCCACTTATCTGGTAAAGTAAATCTAAGAGTGTCAAAGTTGCTGCTAATGTTTGCGACAGCATCAACAGCTAGTTACCATCCTCTGTGTTGTCTAATCCTCAGGTGTTGAAGCTTAAAAATTATGAGCAGATATAAAACGCCCTGGAGGAATTTTTGACTGCTTCCTCTTTATGATCTTTATGTTTGTGTCTACAAGCTTATCGGTGTGTGTGTCCTCAGGGTGACTCTGGGGGTCCATTAGTGTGTCTGGAGCGAGGCAGGCGGTGGTTCCTGGCGGGAATCGTGAGCTGGGGCGAGGGCTGTGCCAGGCAGAACCGCCCCGGCGTCTACACACAGGTGGTCAAATTCACCGACTGGATTCGTCAGCAGACCAAGGGACAGGTCTGACCAATCAAACGTCTTACTCACGTGAACTACACGACAGAGCTAACGCACAGGAAGGAGGTTTCAGACCTGAAGTCTGTCTTCAGATTGTCGTCATGACGGATGGCAACACAATGAGTCAGTTTTTGGCAGTGTGTCCAAGGCATTGGGCCAGTGGGGGCATCATCCCTGTTCCAAACCTTCCTGCTTCCTCATATTCCTCAAACAACGGCAGTAATGTTGCATGGACAAAAAAGAAAAAAAAATCTGATCTTAAGCTGATTACCGATTCACTTGTTTTGGCTTGCTGCATTTCAAAGGTTAACACTGGAATCCAAGACAAACAATGTCATTCAAGAAACTAGTCCAGCTACATAAATTGCACTGCTCGCTCTAGAGCTGTGGAAGGCTCTGCAGCCTGCAACATGCTTTATGAATTACACTCCCAAGCTCCCATCAAGAGGCTGTTTTTTGTTTTTAATTTTTTTTTACATTTGGTGAAGTTCCCTGTAAAAGTCTTCACATTTGGCACCAAACACCAGCCTGTCGTAATTACACACAGGCTGGTACGCATCAGGTTTCAGAGCAGATCTGAGGTGGGCTACATTATCCTGTGCGTGTAAATGTTGCCAATTACTTCCTGTTTTTTCATTCACAGCTACATTGTTCACTGCAGAAACAAACCATGTCCTGTGCTGCATGCAGTCTTATTGTGAAAAGAGTTCTTTCTTGAACAATACATGTAACCCTGTATTTTTGTACTCATTTGCATTTCCCCGTGTACTGTATGCTACTGGATGTGTTCACAGCTCTCTCTGAGTTTAAGAGTTGTTCTTGTACTGTATATGTACGTCTGTGCCTTTGTATATCACACAGTCATAGCTTTATGTGCGGTATATGCTGTAACTGTAGATAAGAACAGTCCATCCATAGTAGGTGCTTTTCAGTTTTACTGTGATTTAATTTATCTTAACGGTGCCACTTTTATACTTTATGTCCTATTAAAAAGCCTCCACATTAAACCTGAGGACCCAGTAAGATTACCATTACCAGACCTAAGTGAGTCTTTCTATGCAGACACTTAAGGGTTTGGTCCATTTCTCCATCCTCATTCAGCTCACCCCGCCACCCAGTGGACAAGCTGTGCCATTACAATGTGCCATGTACAATATCCCCTGAAGAAATGAAGAATAAAAAAACTGCAATTTACATGATTGTTAAATAATCCATTTCCCTTTATATTAAAGACACATTATCAATGCAGAACCATCGTTTTGCTTTGTTTTTGTATCTCTTATTACATAATTTATTTGCTTTGCTTTTAGGATAAATCAATGAAATTTGCTGTTTCAGTCCTCTGAATTTCATTTTGAACATTCCTGTTGCTTCAGAAATAATTAATTTCTTTTGTTTTTGTTTTTGGGGGGTTTTGTTGTTGTTTTGGTTGTTTGTTTTTTTACTGAAAGGCACCTGTACAATAGTTTGAAGGAAACGTGAGTGACTTTCCTTTAGTGGTGAGACCAGATTTCCTCCAGTAGTGGAGTGTTTGGCACCTTCCGCAGAATACGTTTTTTTTTAAAATGTTGATCAGTTCACTATTCGTTTACCAATGCCTACGTGCTGATCATCCCGTTTACCAGCCCTGACGAGCACTGACAAGATATACGCAAGCGGCTGATCAGTGCGCATCATCTCCAGTGAAGCGTAAACGTCCCGATGGAAAATAGCGCATGTAGACACTTGGCTTAGGAACAAAAAGGGAATGTCCAATCCGAAGTGTGAAAAATCTGAGGAAACAGAGTTTTGTTTTTTCTTATATTAGAAAAATATAACATTTAGCAGGTTTTGCTGCAAGGGACAGCTGAAATGGGACCGCTGTTGCGCGCGCTGGGTGTGTCACTGGACTTAACGGAAGCCGTCTATCCGGTGGGTGCACTGTGGGAACAGTATAAAGCCGCACCACAATCCGAAACGATGGGAAAAAGTTGCACTGGAGCTCAAGCGCGGTGTCCTGTTGCGTGATCTCCCGCAGATAAACTCAGGAAACTGTCTCCCATTCGGTGACCCTCAGCTCAGAGCGCAGCTGTCAACCGCGCTGTGCTGCGTTTGTAGTCCGGTGGAGAGAAAAAAACAGAAGGGGGGAAAAGGAGCCACAGCAGGAATACAACTTCTTTCATGCGTTCTTTTATTTGAAAGCGCAAAGCTGCTTCGGAGTCTCCAGACATGATGAATTTTATTCTCTTCTCCGTGCTGTTTGGATTTTATGGTGTTCTAGCAAAAGGTAAGTAACGGGGTCAGTTTTGCAGATGTTACGGGCGCACAGAGTGCGTGCCGCAAGGATAACTGCTAATTTACACAGACCTGCGCTAATTTACTCCAGTCAAGGAAACTTGTTTGTAATAGTTAGTTAATTAGAGCCAAAATCCGACGCTGTGAATCAACGTAGAAACGTTTGTAGCATGCGGTATTTTATTTCTGACTTCATGATCGTTATTTCTTGTAAACCTGACGCTCGGATAACAAAAAGAAGTATTTCAACTAATCAAGGTAGAAAACAACAGACGGACAGCCTATCCCCCTTAATTATTGCGCTGCCGCTCCTCATTTATCGGCTTGTTGTGTCGCCGCTGTGGCTGCGTGTCTGAAGCTGTAAACCTCCCTTTGCGCTGAGGATGATAAGCTATTTGCTGATAGCAGTAAACAAGTCTGATATTGTCATGATAATGATAATAACCATTTATCCAAACAAGTGTCCCTCCCGGACACTTGTTTGGATAACCGGGACCCCTGTGGCCCGGCTCCTTGCCCGCATGGCCCCTGCTGAATGGATGCGCGCAGGCGTTGTTTCCTGAAGCTAGCGAGCTTGTCAATAATATAAATGGATGAGGGGTCAAAAACTCCTCTGAGCAGGAACCGATGTGAATTTGTGCTCATTGCTCAAACAGCCGCTAGGTTGCATTTATGGAGTCCAGTGGAAGCAGTTCAAGGAATAAAAGATGATGCTTCTACAGGTGCAAAATAGAATCGAGTAGAATCACCCTTTATTGTCATTGTACATGTTCAGTGCAAAAAGTTTTAATTTAGTTTAGTTTAATTTAATTTAATTTAATTTAATTGTTTTATTTTGCATACGGTGAATTTTAAAAGATGCCCTACACGTGTAACGACTTATTACATCATTTCTAGTTATCCTCGACTGTTCATGTGCTATTACTCTTTAAAAATGTGTTTTTTTAATTTTCCAAATGCATCATGGCGTTTGTTTTAAATCTGTCACTGAAACAAAAACTCCACCAATTATTTCCTGCTGGATGACAAGTAAAACACGCACATACATGCATACCTGCACTTAATCCATATGTACATATAGTGTAATACAGAGAAAGGAAGAAGTATAAAAAATGTTCTGCGTCACTATTTATTCAACTGAATGTGACAAATAACGTGAATCAGTCCAGAATAACTGCAGAAAATACATAATAATAATGATTAATACATAATATAAAATATAATGCATAATCAGCTGTTCTGAAAAACACCTTCTTACACAGAACAAACTAAATTCTTCATTTATTCACACCCCACTGTCACTGTTACCTTTAATACAATATATTAATCAGAATTATTGGAGAGACTATTCTAGACTGGACCTCTCTATATCTGTTAGTATTTTAAAACTGATAATAAAATCATATGATCACATTTCACTACAGGTAAACAAATTCTTCATGTCGGCTGATTGTCTTCTTCATGCTCCTGAGATTTATTGCAGTGATGTAAATTTCATCTCAAAGAGTTTACTATGTCCTCATTAATTTGTCTGAATTTCACCTTAGTATTCATCTGCATGTTTCTGTTCATGGCACCTGAAATATTTCATTGCCCTCAGGTGTTTATTTTAGATTTCCTGGTACATCAGTGAAAGGGATTTTTACAAGTAATGAGCCTTTGTGGAAACTAACCACAGTAATTCCTGGTAATGGCAGTGATGTTGTAGTTAGGATTGCGAAATGCTTTCCTTTACCTGATAACACAGAAAGTGTGCTAATTAGACACTTGTTTAAACAGCTTGTTGAAAAGCTGGAGGAGATCCTTGACTTCCCCCTCCATCTTCCATTCTCCTGCCTGTGTGTGTGTATTTGCTGCCTCCTGTGAAACCCAAGGAAGTAGCATAGGAAGTGTTAGCAGTATGAGTAATACTAGATACTGTGCTCAATGGGGGATCCACTGGGAACAATGATGCTGACAATGAAAGGCAATAATGGATTTAAGTGATAAATTCGCTAACTGCCCTAGCAGCAGTTTAACTGCTCACAGATCAGTGGATGTGGTTCTTTATGAGCTGCTGTGCGAGGAGCAGTCCGAGTGGAGGACGGGCTTCCCTGAATGATGTTTCCTCTGTTGTTTTGAGGAAGGAAGGGTGGACAGTCTTTATCTCTCATTAATAAACCTCAGCGATGAAGTGGAGAAATGCCTTTATTTGATAAACAAGAGGGACACTGCTTACGCATTTCCACAAAACTTCTTAAGTGGGTTTAGCGAGGAGATGTGAGCAGGGTCAGAGATGCTGATGGAGGACGTGCTGTGGAGGTGGGAATCACCCAAACTGGTTGGCATACCTTACAGGAAGTATGTTATCTTTCAGGATTTCCCTAAATGTGATTGAAAAGGGTTTTTCACTGTGTACGTCCCAACCACATGGACACTTGTCTCTACACCTGAATTAAGCAGTTAAGCAGAGTCTACAAACTCAGTCCAGATGTACCCTTTTCACTTTGACATTTATAAGTTCTCCTTGACCTCTAACCTCTCTGGAGAGGTCCATAGGTTAATAGATACTTGCTATGAGACAAACCACACTACAGGTCATTGGGTGTTGAACTGTTTCCATAAATTTACTAATATTTTCCGCGCTCTGACCTCTGCAGATAAAGATCAGAAGGGGAGGTTCAGCGTCCCTCTCCTGGATGTCAAAACTCAGCAGCAGGTTCTGGATGCTAACCAGATGCTAACGCTCAACTGCAGGTGAGTTTCAGGTAGAGGCGGAAACATCGTGATTTAAAATCTGTAATTCAATTTTTCAGTAAAGATGGTGGTAGAAGTGTAACTTCCTGGAGGAAAAAAGCCTTTTAAAATGTGTTCTATGAATGCAGTGTTTATGTGCTGATAGCCACTGAAATTAAAGTCAGTTTGCATAACGTTGTTAACTAACTGCCCAAAATAAGTATCCAGAAGTGTTTTGGGATGGGTGCCTGCTGCTAAGACTTAGAAGGATTTTGGTAGAGAGATCTGAGCCAGGCATCCGTAGTTTGGATAAAGGGGCTGAACCTGGGTTGGGATTGAATGAGACAGTCACCATGACTGATATCTGGTTAAAGAAATCTCTTAATGAAGGCACAGAATTACGAAAACTCTTACATAAACACTAGAACTCCATTGAATAAAAATAAACCATCAGTTGTTGTGCAAGCACCTTACATCTTTTCCCCCTACTTCTTGTTCCTCATTCTTTCCTCTCTAGTTTGAGCATCTCATAAAGCAGCTTAAAAGCATGAGTCAGTTTTTCCATTGAAACAATCTCTTCAACATTTACTTGTGATCCTTTTTCTAAATAAATTACAAGCACCTATTATTACGTGTTATTGCACGCTTACCACGTGCAGCTAAAACAGAATGAGATTGTAATGTATTATAAGTCCGTTAGAGTCCAATATATATCTTCATCTTCCACACACATGTTGAAATCATCTTTGGATAAAGGGATACAGTTACAGTGATGTAAGCTGTAGAGGGTTACCAACTCGCTGTAACTGTTGACCAGGGGTCGCTGGCAGCTGAGCTGGACGTTTCCAGCAGGCTTGGACAGAGATCAGGTGGAAGTGAGTGAATCTCGCTGTGGAAGGACGAGCAAGCATTACTGCAGCCAGGTGAAAGTCAGCAGCATCCAGGCCCAGCACACCGGCCTGTTCCGCTGCAGGTACCAGGACAAACCCCATAAACAGACATCCGTCTATGTTTATGTCACAGGTAAGACACCGCTACCCCGGGCACTTTTTTCTGTTCTTCGTTAAGTTTTTTTATAAGCTGTTTTTAGCCCGCTCATTGAGAAGCCCTTCACTCATTCACCCTGCCATGTGTATTGTTTGTAATGTCAGGTTAAA